TCATTCAAGAATTGAAGTTTTCCCTTATAGGTAGAATAGGACAAAAGGGCAAAACAATTTAGGATGTTGTTTAAAAAGTGGATGGATGATGGAATACCTTTAAAATTGTAAGAAGCAAAGGTATCCAGAAGGGAGTTGATAAAGAGGGGCTGTCCAGTTTCCAGAAGGGGGTTGATGAGGAGGGGCTGTCCAGTTTCTTTTTCTTTTTCTTTTTTAAGATTTTATGTATTTATTTGAGAGAGAGAGAGTGAGTGAGGGTAGGAGCAGAGGGAGAGGGATAAGCAGACTCTGCTGAGCTTGGAACCCAACATGGGATTCAATCTCAGGACCCCAAGGTCATGATCTGAGCTGAAATCAAGGGTCGCTTAACGGACTAAGCCACCCAGGCACCCCTCCGGTTTCTCAATAAATTGAAGAACAGATGGAGGAATGGGAGTGGAACTGGAAGGATAGGAGGTTTTAATCATGGAGTGAGAGATTGGGGTTCAGAATTTCAGAGGCAGAGCAGTAATTATGGGCAAGGCTGAGGAACTGAAGAACATCTCAGTTCTTAAGTTTTACATAGATAATGCCACATGGACATTGATAATGGGATTGAATGGAGAAGGCTTGCAAGCCAGGAACCGGTGTTGAATGTGAGAGATGACTAGAAGTTTAATAGATGGCAGGAACAAGGATAAATTAGCTGGAAGGCATGAACCTCAAAGGAGAAGGTATTTTTTTCTTCATTGGAGTGATGAAATTGGAAGTGGTAATGTGGAGCTGCACTAAGACCAAAGCCTTCTCTGGTGAGAGTAGTGGAGTGTGGAAAAATGTGCAGCTTCCATTTTGAAAAAAGTGTTTGAAAAGTGCTGTCCTTCAGGGTAACTAAAATTTAATTAAGCTAGAGAGATGATAGCATTACATGAAGATCTGAAGAGGGTGTGTGTGTGTGTGTGTGTGTGTGTGTGTGTGTGTGTGTGTATAGGGGGAGAGGGGTGAGTTAAAAAATATATAAGGGGAATTCAAAATGAAAAGGATTGAGAGGGAGGAGAACTGCCAGAGACAGCATGGTATAAGAGAAATACAGAGAAAAATTCAGAAACATAGATGACAGGAGGGACTTTATTTGGATAGTTCCCAATAATGGTAATGATGAGAGGCCCAGGCTTCTGAATGATAACTTTATAGTAAAGTTGTTCAGTTGGCATAGGCTGCAGGCACTCAGTCTGTGTTGGACACCTCATGGGGCTAATGATTTGTAGCCTTTGCTTAGAGTTAAGGAACATGTTTAGTTAATTTCTAGGATTCCTTACCCAGTAGTGGAAAAAGTAATATCTGTGCCCTTCCCCCATCCCTGATCAATATGTATCCCTGGTTTATTTTTCCAATTGCCTAAATTAAAACTTGTTTTAGACTTTTTTTTTTAGCCACTTTACATTAAATCTGGATGAAATTAACTTGTGAATGTTACTGATTACTATACAGATATGTGCTTCATGCCAAAATTTGGGTTAAAGGAAATTTTCCAACAGAACAGTTTGGTCAAAATGAATACTACCAATCAAGTTTTCCAGTGTTGGAAACTTGGTGATTTGAGATTATTTTGTAGCTATTTAGCTTATTCCAGCTAATCCTCCTTTTTAGCCACTTCAGTTATTGACCATTTACATTACATTTACATATATTTATGTTTTGCTTTTTCCCTATCACAAATATAGAAGAGCAGGAAAAATAGTCTGAAAATAAGGAGAGGGCACCTGGGTGTCTCTGTCCGTTAAGTGTCTACCTTCCGCTCAGGTCATGATCCCAGGGTCATGGGATCAAGTCTTGCATTGGGCTCCCTCTCAGCGGGGAGTCTGCTTCTCCCTCTGCCCCCCCTTGTGTGTGCACACGTGCGTTCTCTCTCTCTCTCTCTCTCTCTCTCTCTCTCTCTCTCTCTCTCTCTCTCGTGTGCTCGTGCACGCACACGCAAAAATAAATGAAATCTTTTAAAAAATGAAAAAAAAATACAGGAAGAAAATCCTAGAAAAGCAGGAATAATTGAAGATGAATTAAAAGTAAAAAGAAAAAACATTTAAAAGCCTGAAAATAGATGGGAATACTTTAAAATGCCTTAGGAATTGCAAAACAAAGTAGTAGTTGAGAATATTAATTTTTGAGAAAAAACATTTTCAACTCTCTTGACCAGCAGGGTCAATAATTAACCCCCATTAGGCTAAATCCTCTTTGGTTGGCTTTCTTTTGCCTGGTCAGATCACCTGCCACAGCTCGTTTCTCCTACCTCCAAAGAGGACATGTCTTTTTCCTCTTATCTCTTTCCCCATGCCTTTTCTTATGTACTGACATATTAAAATGTACTCTTTAGAAACTTCATTTTCTACTTTCAGTGTTGTGTTGTTAGAACAACACTGATCTTCTGTAGTTTTCATCTGCTTTCATTTATAGTGGTATTTCTTCACCCTTCCACCTGTGTCCATTCCTTAAAATGTATCCCAGTTAGTCTTGAAATGTAAAAGCATGCCTTGGGGCGCCTTTCAGCCTTCACCTGAGGTCATGATCTCAGGGCTCCCTGCTCAGTGGGGAGTCTGCTTCGACCTCTGCCCCCCACCCCCCGCTTGTGCTGTCTCTCTCAAATGGATAAATTAAAAAATTTAAAAAAAAAAGCAAGCCTTCGGGTGCCTGGGTGGCTCAGTCGTTAAACGTCTGCCTTTGGCCCAGGTCATGATCACAGGGTTCTGGGATTGAGCCCCGCATCAGGCTCCCTGCTCTGCCAGAAGCCTGCTTCTCCCTCTCCCACTCCCCCTGCTTGTGTTCCCTCGCTCACAGTGTCTCTCTCTGTCAAATAAATAAATAAAATCTTAAAAAAAAAAACAAGCCTTGAGTTGAAAAAGAAGTGGAAAAGCATAGGTCTGTAGATGACTTACTCATGAGCATGAAGGCAGTGTATACTTTTTTTCAGGTGAATAAAGACATTCTGGCTGTTGGTTAAAGAGGGGGCAGTACCTCAGTGTGAATTGCAGTGGAACATTCACAATGTGCATGAAAACATGCAGTCACACGGGTGACTGATTGAGTTGAGGGGATGGGAAATGGTCTCCCAATTGGGTTTTTAGGAAGTTGTGTATTGTGAATAGAATTCAGCCAGTAGTGGAATTATGTTCTTGATTATTAAAAAGTGTACATAATCTTGAATGCAGCCTCTTAAACAGTATCTCTTTTCCTGAGTAGAGTGAAAGATATGATTCCATCTTAATCTCAAAAATTTGTACTTAAGAGATATTTAAACTTTTCATTTTTATAATGTCCCAAAGTAACTTGTGATTTATTTAGTAATCAGTTATTAAAATCTGTAGTTTTTAAACGGTTTACTGATGGGGCAAATTTGATTTGTTTAATCTTTAGAAAAAAACATACTTTAACAGAGGTGGTTTTTTTTTATTAGAATCTAGACAATATATTTGGGGGGACAAAATGTATTTAATGCTTTCTTCTGAAAGTGAAAAGTAGTGGGAATTAATATGTTCTAATGAAGAGAAGATAAGGAAGTTCAAATTTTATTTTACTAAGTGTCAAAGAAAGCAAGAGGGATTGGCGATTTCAAAGCCTTTTAGAATTGGTTGACATCCTTCTGCCTTAGTTCTCATCTCACTTCTAAAGTATTGAGTTCTTCCTAATTTGTTTTCCTGGTAAAATAGAACATGGTTATTTATTATTATTTCTCAGGTCATTGATCTAATTCTAACCCAGGCTCCTGTTTTTAGTTTTTTTGTTTAAGTTGAAATGTGAAGAAGCGGTTGGTCCTATACATTTCCAGGCTTCTGTATAATAATTGATCATTACAATGATGATTCTGAAACATCAAGAAAATATTATATCTGTATGCCCGAACATAGAGTGAGTTTTTTCTGAAACAATTTTTATTTCATAAAAGAGAGAGCTGCCTTGAGTCTATATATAGACTCTTATTATAAATTTCTTTATTGCTTTCTTTATTTTGAAAAACAAAGTACTGTTTGGTAAAGAGCCTAAAACTACTTCAAACTGATTTTGAATGTTGGAGTCAGAGAAAAGGAATCTAATAAATTTAACAGATATATAGTAATTTTTCCTATGTATATGACCTCAAAATTGTGCTAGATACTATTGAAAATAGACCTTACAGTTTTCCATTCCATTTAACAAATACCAGTTTTAAAGAGTACGGTTGGTAATTAATATATATGGGAACTGTGACTTAGGATAAATTTGCAGTGATAGCATTTTATGTATATTCAAAAAGTGCTGTATCAAACAACTTAAATGGAAGTGAAGATGATCTGCCTTTGAAAAGAGTGTTAGATGACTCAGAAATGGCTCCAGTGATAAGGAATACACTGATGTCAAAGATGTGCATAAAGATTTTGAATGAAGGTGTTTTGTGAAACATGGAGGTAGGAGAAAAAGCAGTATTTCAAAATTATCATGATTTATTAATGTTTTTTAAATGTACATGTGCATCTAAATTAATTTAAATTGTTTAAGTATTTGACTGTTTTATCTATATCTCTAAAAGTTTCTTTTCAAGTTGGCCAGAAAACATCACATTTAACTTTCTTAGAAACATGGTAGTTCACCTTATCTTTGGGATTTCTTTCTATTCAGGCTTATGTGGTAATAAGTTTACATTTATTGTACTTCATTAAGGTAAAGAGTGTATAATATGATTTGCGAGTTCTGCCAAAAAATGTTATGGCTTAAAGAAAACTTTAGCTATCCTGAAAGAGCTTTTAATTTTTGAGGTAGTTCATTTCTTTAATAATTTTCAACAAAGAACATGTTATTATATATAGACTAATAAAAGTATAATTTGATTACTATTTTTAGAAAACCCTTCAAAAATATTAACACCTCTAGCCAATAAATAAATAAAAACTCTCCAGCTTTTCAGGTTTTACTCTTATTTACCTAGATCCATTGATTAGTTTTTATGTTACAGTATTAATAGTGATTTATTTTTTATTAATTAAAAAAAATTGCAGCTGTACCTTTTCCCCCAACACATCGCTTGACATCTGAAGAAGTATTTGATATGGATGGGATACCCAGGGTTGATGTTCTGAAGAACCACTTAGTAAAAGAAGGTCGGGTAGATGAAGAAATTGCACTTAGAATTATCAATGAGGGTGCTGCTATCCTTCGGAGAGAGAAAACCATGATAGAAGTAGAGGCTCCAATTACAGGTACACTTGTTTATGTTTTGGATATTATTTTTTTAATTATACCATTATTTAGTTGCTTGGATCTAAGGCTGTTTATTCTTCAATTTATGGTATACTAAAATAATATTACAGGGACATTATCTTGAATTTTGAAATTATTTTTTGTAATTTTGGGGGGGTTTGCCTATTTTCAATGAATAAATATGATCTTAAGTAACCTGAGAGCAGAAGTTGGTCTAATACACTTTTGTGAAGGTTTCATCAGTTGTGTTGGCCATAATTCAGTTTGATTCAACAAATTCTTATTTACTTTGCTTTCAATTATTAGGGGCAAATACCTCAGTGTCAACATAGCAGTCAGCAGAAGGTATTGCATTAGGATGGAGATTTTACTGCCACCATTATAAGTTTTGTAATCCTAAGACCTATGCTTGGCTTCCTAAAGAGGAGCTTTATAAATTTAGGTGAAAATTTTGTCACTGACTACAAATTTCATTATTTTTGTTATATCTTGTTCTAGATCTTGAGCACATGTGAACACTTGGGTACACGTCATCCCTATTACGACTCTTCATAGATTCTAACTTCCTGCCAAGACCTTTCTTGATAGAATTTACATTATTATGTAAAAGAAATTAGAATTTAAGTAAAATTTGTTATTTCAGAGGCTTTTTTTCATATCTAATAATCTTCTTGTTTCAGTGTGTGGTGACATCCATGGCCAATTTTTTGATCTGATGAAACTTTTTGAAGTAGGAGGATCACCTGCTAATACACGATACCTTTTTCTTGGTGATTATGTGGACAGAGGTTATTTTAGTATAGAGGTAATAATCATATACTATCATTTGATTTGCTTTTAAATGTTACCATAGATGATTTCCATTAATTCCTAGTAAAATAAGTTCCTTAAAGTACCTATATTGGGTTCTTTTTAATACCTCTGCTATTCTGAAGTTTTTAGGTAAAACTACTACTTATTCTCTTCTGCCTTTCAAACTATTTTGTTTTCTTTGTATTACTCTGTTTATGCAATTATAATTGCCATTTTTCCCAGTGGAAATTATATGTAAACTGAGGGTTCTTTATTGTCCTGTTATCTAGTGGCCCTAAGGAGCTAGTGCTATTTATCTCTCTTGCCCCTATAGGCATTACCCCATATGAGAAAAAGATTAATTGAATTTTCTCTGATTAAATAAAACATACTATAATACTTTTAAGGCTTAAACTCTAGTGCTTCTATCTACCTTTTATAGCTATTAAGACCCAAGTCTTTGTGTGTTGTGAAAGTATTCATTTCTTTTAAAAAACTTAAGAGGCATTAAAATGACCTGTTGATCATTACTTAACAGCACATGGTTCTTTTTGCTCCTTTTATTTCTCTAATTATATAAATAAAATAAGGTAAATATAGAACTATTTGAATTTTCTAATATATGCATTTCTCTTTTTTATTTTTTAATTTTTTATTGTTATGTTAATCACCATATTAGTTTTTGATGTAGTGTTCCATGATTCATTGTTTGTGCATAACACCCAGTGCTCCATGCAGAATGTGCCCTCTTTAATACCCATCACCAGGCTAACCCATCCCCCCACCCTCCTCCCTTCTAGAACCCTCAGTTTGTTTTTCAGAGTCCATCGTCTCTCGTCTCTCATGGTTCGTCTCCCCCTCTGACTTACTCCCCTTCATTCTTCCCCTCCTGCTGTCTTCTTCTTTTTCTTTTTTCTTAACATATGTTGCATTATTTGTTTCAGAAGTACAGATCTGTGATTCAACAGTCTTGCACAAGTCACAGCGCTCACCATAGCACATACCCTTCCCAATGTCTATCACCCGGCCACCCCATCCCTTCCGCCCCCCACCACTCCAGCAACCCTCAGTTTGCATTTCTCTTTTTTTAAATGAAAATGTGGCCATATTATAATGTTGTTCTATAACTTGCTTTTTTTCATATATCCCTATACTGTGATGTCTTTCCAGGTCAGTATATATAAATTTATAGCATTTTTAATAGCCACATTGTATTCTATTGAATAAACAAACCACAGTTAATTATTGTTAGACACTTAAAGTGTTCTTAATTTTTTAGCATTACAATGATGCTTCAGTGAGTAAGCTTATTTATACATCTTTGCATACTTGCTAAATTATTTCTGTGGGGCAGATTCTTGGAGGTAAAATTGCTGGATAAAAGCTCTACTAATAGATACTTGTGTTGAGTATTTACTATGTTCCAAGCATATTCTAAGCACTTAACACACATTGATTAATTAAATCTTCACAACATTATAAGGTAAGCACTGTTATTTTATCCATTTTATAGATGAGGAAACTGAGGCTTGGAGAAGTTAAATAGCTTCCCCAAAGACACATTTTTAGTAAGCAGTGCAGCCAGTCTTATTCTAAGCCTGTATTTTTTTTTTTTAAGATTTTATTTATTTTTATTTTTAGAGAGAGAGCAAACAAGGGGGAGGGCAGAGGGAAAGGGAGAGAGAGGATCTCTGGCAGACTCCACACTGAGCATGGAGCCTGATGGGGGGTTCCATCTCATGACCCTGAGATCATGACCTGAGCTGAAATCAGGAGTCAGTCACTTAACCGACTGAGCCATCCAGGCACCTTGTTAGCCTGTACTCTTAAACACCTTTCCCAGTAGATAATTGAATCTTTACTTGGTGAATTTCCAGCTGGTTCCCGTTGTTTATATCCCCTTCTCCAGTATTTTTAACCTCCTTTCTCAGGTATGCTAGGATTCATAGTAGGAAAGAAGTTCAGGGCTCTGTGCACTCAAATTCCGTAAGGAATTTTGTTACCTCTGAGTTGTTCTTCCTTTATTCATAGCTTCATCGTTACTCACCTCAAACTTTCCTCAAAGCTTCAAGGAAACCAGAATAATGGCCCTTCTTAACAAAAAAGATAGGGGGCTTCGACAAAAACAGTAAAATGAACAATTTTAGGAAGCTTATTGGTAACTAAGCATATTGGTGTGTATGCCCTTGTATTGGAGTGTTTTATGGCTGACTCTTTTAATATCTTTTTTTTTAAAAGATTTTATTTATTTATTTGACAGAGAGAGACACAGCGGGAGAGGGGACACAAGCAGGGGAGTGGGAGAGGGAGCAGTGAGAGAGGGGACACAAGCAGGGGGAGTGGAAGAGGGGGGAACAGGCTTCCTGCCCAGCAGGGAGCCTGATGCGGGGCTTGATCCTAAGACCCTGGGATCATGACCTGAGCTGAAGGCAGACACTTAATGACTGAGCCACCTAGGCACCCCATGGCTGACTCTTTTAATAGATTTTATTGTTACAAAAGGAAAATAGAATCAAAGAATAATCAAGAATCAAAGATAAAGAATCAAAATAAGCAAAAAAGAGAGGCAGAGTTTAATAAGTATTTCCCTGACTTAATTTCTTTTTTTTCCTTATGAATAAAATGAAGGTGTGAAGTTAACATTTTAATATACCTTAACTTGTTAAAAATAAAATTTGTTTTCTTTTTGTATATAATTCTATAAACCAAGCTAATTTCCATACGAAGTATCTTTCCTTTTTTTTTTAAGATTTTATTTCTTTATTAGAGAGAGAGAGAGAGCACAAGCATGAGTAGGGGGAGGGGGAGGGGCAGAGGCAGAGGGAGACAGAGAATCCCAAGCAGAGTCCATGCTTGGCGTGGAGCCCAACTTGGGGCTTATCGATCCCATGACCCTGAGATCTCGACCTGAGCTGAAATCAAGAGTCAGACGCTTAACTGACTGAGACACCCAGGTGCCCCAATTTCCTTTTTTTTTTTTTAACCAAATAAGTAAAATGTGAGTTTCTTATGTTAAATCTATTTAGAGGGGTACCTGGCTGGCTCAGTCGGTAGAGCATGTGACTCTTGTTCTTGGGGTTGTGAGTTTAAGCCCCACGTTGGGTATAGAGATTGCTTAAAAATAAATCTTAAAAAACATAATGTAAATCTATTTAGAGAAAAGCATCTGCTACGCTGTTTGCTTTAATATTCTTCTGATTTAAAAAATTATACTTTCTTTGAATCAGTTTAGATAATAAGCACCTACCTCATGTAAGGCAACAAGCATAACCAACAAAATAAACATAAAACATCCTATTGCCTTCATAAGGCAGCATGGCATAATGCTTAAGATTCAGAGGATCAGGACCCCGTCTCCATTACTTAAAAGTTCTGTGATTTCAGACAAGTTACTTGAACTCTTTGCTTCAGTTTCCTTGTTTGTAAAATAGAGATAATACTACATACTTCATAGGGTTGTTTGAGGAATAAACAAGGAGTATTAAATACATGGCGCTTGATACATTGTAAGTACTCAATAAATGGTCCATGCTATTATTTTTGACATTATTATTATTTTATTTATTGATATACCTAAGAAGGACACCATTCTGCTAATTGTTTTTATAGCAAACAATCTGTAAATATAAAGTAATTAAATAAATTGTTTGACTCATTCATTCAACAAATATTTATTACTTTTCTGCTGTTTGCTAGGTACTTTTCTAGGAGTGGAGGATGAGAAGTGAATAAGATGACAAAGTCCCTGATTTCATGGAGCTTATATTTTAGTAAAGGACAAAGAGAAAAAGGTAGTAAAGAGTAATAGAGATTGTAAGGACAATAGGGTCAGAGAAAAGGAGCAAATATGAAACAACTTAGTGAAATAAAAATAAAAGATAAATTCATTCAAAATGTTTTCTTTTGCAGTGTGTCTTATATTTATGGGTCCTGAAGATTCTTTACCCAAGCACATTATTTCTCCTGAGAGGCAATCATGAATGCAGACACCTTACTGAATATTTTACCTTTAAGCAGGAATGTGAGTACTTTCATGAGAAATATTTTCATTTCCTCAGTATTCTTGTGAAGTGATATGGATAGTAAGACTTTACAGTGTAACATATAAGAACAGATTTTGTGTCCAAACATATAAAGCTTTGAGGATTATTGTCAAGAGTTCTCTAGTGTTTAATGGTGTTGTATTCAGACGTTTTCATTTCAGTGTTTCCTATTAAGTTTGATTTTATAGATATATTTAGAAATGGTTTTGAGTTTTTCATATAGCTTTAATGTTTAAGTGATTTTTTTTTCTAACAGGAAGAATAAAAACCAAAAGGAAAAAAATTGTTGTTGTTGCATTGGAGATTTTTGTCCCCCAATATTGAAGCTCTCCCATGAAGATTCTTAAGTTACTCATCCTGTCATCATTGCAGATTGTTTCAAACATGCTATTAATGAAATGAAATTCTTAATGTACAATGTTTACCCCATTTCTCTCTTAAATTATTGTGGCAATGGCAATCCAATAACCAGAAGCCACAGTATTATATAGAGCAGTATTTGACCTTTTTTCACATCTCTTAACTTAATATTATTAAGTTAATATTCACAACTATATTAAGTCGTAGAGTTAAGTTCTAAAAATAGAAATAATTTTAGAATTATGGAGACCCAAACATGATCCAGTAAAGATCATATTACTAGAGACTTCCAGTAAAAGGAGAAAAATGTAGTGGTGAGTAATGGCAAAGGGCACAAAGGCCTATAACTTCAAGGATCAGGTGGGTAACCTAAATGAATAGGTTATGAGTAATAACATAATAAAAAATAAAATAATAAAATAGTAAAAAATAAAGTAATAAATGAATAAAAGATGCGGCCTGGAAAGTGCATACTTGACCTAAAAGCAATCAATTTACAATTTTTATTAAGCTACAGTGCTGGAAAACAGGTCTGTTAGCAGACTACCAGTTTAGAACCTCTGGTTGCTGGATATAGATTTTCTCATATTTGTGTTTTTTTTTTAAGATTTTATTTATTTATTTGAGAGAGAGTGCGAGAGAGAGAACAGGAGCCGGGGGGAGGGGCAGAAGGAGATGGAGAAGCAACTTCATGCCGAGCAGGGACCCCGATGTGGGACTGGATCCCAGGGTGACCTGAGCCAAAGGCAGACACTTAATGAACTGAGCCACCCAGGCGCCCTAGATTTTCTCATATTTGAATGTTAAAATACTAAAAAGGGGAAAAGAAACTAAGCGCTTTTTTTTCTTTAGATAATTAATAAAACAAACTACTCACCAAAATTACAGCAAAAATGTAAAATAGCCAGGAATTTTAAACATACAAACGAACAAAGGGATGTGTATGATAATCTCCTTAAAAGTAAATGACAGTTGGATTTGGTGGAGTTTTGTCTCTCTTGTGTTAGTTTGGCTTCATGCTTCACTGTCCATTTTAAGCATTCATTGTAGACCAGAGGAACCCCTCTGTTCTTCCAGCATATGAATAAGATATCTTCTTTTCTTTTTTCTTAATTGGGTGGACCTTGAGTTTTGTTGTGATGATGTAGTAGTCTTGTCTGTAACAATAAAGTAGTCACTGACTCTTAGAATAAAATAAAGTATTAAAACAGCTTTAAGTATAGTTTTAGTTTAGCTTTACTTGGCCTATAAAGGTAAAGGGTTGAGCTGTTTTTAGAGATTTGACTTACTTACTTTAAGTAATATTTTATGATCTGCTGCATACCCAAAGTAAATTTAGAGACAGCAGATATTTTGTCTTCATAAGACCAATAAGATTGCCTATTTTATTGATTTTAACAGGGCAAGATGCTTGCCTTTTAAATAAAAATTATATACAGTAAAATTCACTCTTTGTTTAGTTCTGAGTTTTGACAAATGCATAGAACTGCCAACTGCCACAGTCATGATACAGAAAAGTTTCATCATCCCATAAATTCCTTCTTGCTGTCTTTTTATAATCACCCCCATACCCACTGTCAACCCCTGGCTACCACTTGGCTGTTTTCTGTGTCTGTAGTTTTCTTGCCTTGGTTTTAATAGTCAATTTATGTATCTATCTATCTTCAAAATGATAAACTAGTAATGTGATTATCAATTATTTTTTCTTTTTCTAGGTAAAATTAAATATTCAGAAAGAGTCTATGAAGCTTGTATGGAAGCTTTTGATAGTCTGCCTCTTGCTGCACTTTTAAATCAACAATTTCTTTGTGTTCATGGTGGGCTTTCACCAGAAATACACACACTGGATGATATTAGGAGAGTGAGTATATATTGTAGTTCCAGGGTTGATTCCTATTTACAGTACTTTGTTGGGTAGAGAGTAGAAGCTTCAAACTCCTCTTTACTGCCAAGATTAGGTAATGGTAAAAATTAATATACTGATATTTTAAGGAAATATCTTCTAACCATTCAGAACAATGTAGTATGGACAGTATTCAAAGTTGGTACCACTTTCCTGTGTCCATTCTGTTCTCACTTTTTGACAAGTTATTTCTGTTCTTTGTTTCTTTCTTTTCTTTCTTTCACAGTTAGATAGATTCAAAGAGCCACCTGCATTTGGACCAATGTGTGACTTGTTATGGTCCGATCCTTCTGAAGATTTTGGAAATGAAAAATCACAGGAACATTTTAGTCACAATACAGTTCGAGGATGTTCTTATTTTTATAAGTAAGGAAAAATATCCAAGATTAAACACATTTTAGTTGTTAAAATAGCATATGTTTCATGTAGAAAATCATTATTTTACTTAATTTACTTTTTTTCCCCCACAGCTATCCAGCAGTGTGTGAATTTTTGCAAAACAATAATTTGTTATCGATTATTAGAGCTCATGAAGCTCAAGATGCAGGGTAAGAATTCTGTTTCCCTGACCCAAATTAACACCTTATGTACAAATCAAACTTAGTAACTCATGATTGATGCTTTACGATGCATATTAAGCTATTTGTTTTACAGCTATAGAATGTACAGAAAAAGTCAAACTACAGGGTTCCCTTCATTAATAACAATTTTTTCGGCACCTAATTACTTAGATGTCTACAATAATAAAGGTAAGATGTTGTTGATAAAAAAAATTGTTAAACAACTTAGCGTTTTAATTGACTTATTTTTTTTTAAATAATAGAAAAAAGGCATTGTTTGAAACTGTATTTATCCAAATCTCATTATAAAAAAGTGTAAGATATAAGGGAGGGGAGAGAACAAGAAATAAAAATATAAAAATCCAAAATGTGAAACTTAAATCATATGTAACCATTCTACAACTTGGCAGTCATAGAAGCTACCTTACTGAAAAATATTCTGAATTAAGTCAAGAAACCAAACATGATTTTCTCAAACTCCCCTTTCTTAAATCTTTCCCCTTATAATCAAGAGAATGTTTTCTTGTTTGCATAAAGCTGCTGCTGCTTTGACCATTTCGTGTATTGGCACTGTATAGTTAATTTAGTTTATCATGTTTCTTGTTTTTTCTTCACTGATCTAGGTTCTTATTCCCTTTCTTATTCCCTCCTTTTACCTCCACAGTCTTATCATTGCCCCCTGAAGATTAAAAGTTGAACCTTCTTTGATCAGTTCACTCTGACCCCCTTTCAGGGATATATTCCTCCCTTTCTTTTCTTTTTACTGTTCTTTTTTCCTTTTTTCTTACATCTTGTTTCTTTACTTGCTGTTCCACCTGCTTCCATTCCCTTTCCTTCTGTCCAGATTTGATCTGTTTATAATAATTTGGTTTCATTTAACTTTGAACATAGCTTATTGACAGATAATGCCAAAGGATCTTAATTTAATTAAGTGTGTGCCAAGGAAATTGAAGATGAGCTTGGGTATGTTTACGTAGCACACATTTTCAGAAGAGGAAATTAAGAAGCCATCTCCTATTCCGTCTTGATATGTCTGGAATTCAGTTACTGTGCCATAGTTTCCAGGGTCACTGGAGCAGATGTGCCAGGAGGAAAGAACAGAAGGTTAAAGACTTTTAAAAGTATTAGAGAGATAATGAGGTCATTGCTAAATATGGGTCATGGAGTTCAAAAGAGGAACAGAAGAGTTGTGTGTTTTTTTTTTTAATTATTTGAGATGATGGTTAAAAGACTAAAACATTTGCCTGAGATCAAATGGTAGCATGCTAAATAACTTTGATACAGAGTATGTTACAAAAACTTAATACTATATTAATTACCAAAAAAACCATACCTTGACTGAGTTGCTCATCTTCAGAAGCTAGTATCAGTGCAGCCTTTAAGGATTATGCCAATGCTAAAATATTCTTTTAAATTATAGTTTGGTTTATAAATTTCAGAACTTCTAGAGAAGTTACCTAATGATGTGTGGCTTCATTTTTGAGGAGAATGTATCTAAGTTTTGACTCTGTTCTTAAGAACAGAATAGAGTGCTACATTTAACCTCCTACCAGTGCTCCTAATACCTCACCTATGACCTCCCCTTGTCAGTATTACAGGATCTAGTGTTCAGTGCTCAGTTGATTGTCTTATTGGTTGTCCTCTGTTAGTTTGATTTAGGGGGTTTTAAGGGATCACTTTTCTGAGTATTCAGAAAAGAAACTCAAACCATTGAATCTGTCTTGTCAAAATCAAATGTCTCTTGGTAGTGATTAGTCTGTACATAGTGTTAATGATTTGAGTGCTTACATGGTATGGATATGTTTGTAATGTTTCATTTCATCTCTAAGGCAATTTTCTAGATTCTCTCTCTCTTTTGTTTTAAAGCTGAAAACTTGATATCATTCCTTAATTTCTGAGGCCAAATTTAAAATACTTTTATTCCATAAGGGAAACAAGCATATTACTTGTGACTTTGTATAAGCCAGAATCCCAAGTCTTGGAATTTAATATCTGCATTTTCATGCTTTCATTAAAATGGAAAAAAATAACCACATAATTATTATAATATCTACAAAGCATTTTATACTTTTATATACCTTCATGTGAAATATATTCTCTGATCGTAAAACAAACTTCTGAGGTAGTTAGGGTGGACATATTATATGGTTCTATTTTATAAATGAGAAACAGATTAGTTAAATAATTTACCAAGCATTGCAAAGCTAGTATGTGCTGGAGCTTAGATTGGAATCTAGTCCATCTAACCCACTATTCTAGAAAATAATATAACCTGTGGCTGAAACCTATGTAGTTAATTTAAGATATTATTCTTTTTAATGTTTTGAAACAACAGAAAGATACCTGAAATTGAGATGAGTCTGTTACCTTTGGGTTATTTGATTATAATATGTTCTTTTTGGTATTTTAATGGAATTTTTTCTAAATGAAATAAAATATTTCTTTGTTGTAGTTTCATTTGATTTCCCATATTAAATGAAATAAATACATTCAGACAGTCATGAGGAACTGCTTTTTTTCTGGGTTTGTTTTGTTTTTTTGTTTTTTGCTTCATTACCATCAGCTATCCTTTTCAGGTTGCCTGTAATGAAAAAGATCCTCTTAAATTCCTTCAACTTGTATGAACTTTAAACCTAGAAAATTGCTCATTGCCATTCTGTGTTTCCTCTAATAATTGAGTTTTCACAATTTTGGATATAGTAAAAGTGCATGTTTGTCATTGAATTATAAAGTAAAACATTCTAGAAATCTGGAAATTTCATTAATAAGTATAGATCTGACAAAGCTCTCCATAAAAGTGTGTTAAAAACAAAAATGTGTTATTACTAAAAATTTGTTCCTATCTCCCTTTACTAGTCCTCATTCAACTCACACCTTGATTCCCCACTCCTTTAAAACAGTGTTTTTTTGCTTTTATGTGTTTTAGAGTTTTGGAGCTAAAGACAAATTGTTACATTCACATTCAAACTTACCTTACAGCTGCTGTATTAAAGTATGAAAATAATGTGATGAATATTCGACAGTTTAACTGTTCTCCACATCCTTACTGGTTGCCCAATTTTATGGATGTCTTCACATGGTCTTTACCATTTGTTGGAGAAAAAGGTATGATTCTTATTTTTTTTTTAATGTTTTATTACTGTCACATTTACTCCAGTTTATTATCGGAGGCACATACTTGTTAAAGGAAACTGAAGTCTAGTTTCACTATGGGTTCAGCTCTACTTGTGTCAGTGGGTGTGGTTACGAGAGCCTCAAAGATATTTTGGTTAGCTGTTTATAGCCCCCATGTGAGGGTGTCTGGGGGACTGGGAGAAGACTTATAAATAGCTTGATGTTGTCTTCAGCTGTTGGGTTTTCTTTCTGTTTTTCTTTAGCTTAAATCTTTTATGAAGGAATGGAGGGATAGCTTTGCTTTGGAATGGACACTTTTGCACATTTTAACGCCACTTTTGGGGGATGTCAAAGTAATTTATGAGAGAATTTAATAGCCCTAGTTTTGGGCAATGTTAGTCATAGCGGTTCTATACTCTGAGAGAAATGATAAAGAGAAGTTCAGGTTTAAACCTAATATTTCTTCTCCTCTATTAAAAACATGTATACAAATTTAGTGGTAATGCTTTCTGATAATTTCCAATAATAATATATTAGTATATACTTAATAGGCTTTTTAAGAGAACATAAATGCTATTTAAGAAATTTCGTTTTTTTTCCTAGTTGTATAGGATTCTTAGGATTTCCTTACTTCATCACATTCTTCTTTTCCATTTTAGTGTTAATTTTCACAAGGTAATGCCTCAGTTTCCATATGTGGAAAATAAGAATATGAGAATACAGACATGATTGTAAAACATTTTGTTCTATATTTCTATTTTTTCTCACCTCTTCCGTGTTACAAAATGTTCCTTTCTCTTGGGGATATGTTATTTCTGCCAACGCAATTTTGGGTTCTAAAATACAGAGTTAATACTTAAACTGTGTATGTTAAACAGATTTTTTGAAGGTTGCCTTTGGTCTTCATCAGTTACTCAGTAGGTCAACATTAAGCTAATATGGAGATAGAATTACCCACTTTAGCATTTGAGAAGGGGGCCAGTAAAGGGCTTAGGTGCAAGGGATGCATTACACTTATAACCTTCTATCTTTGGTATATGAGAAATAGTTCAATCATAGCATCATCGGGCTAAAGGGAATTTAAGAATTCATCTTGCTCATTCTCCTGCCTTCAGGCTAGACTGCAACTCAGCTATTTTAATGTAATATAAGTGGGGTGGGGGTGGAAAGAAAGGGGGATGATAAAGAGGAAAATGGACATTTCTTAGATTCTGATTTGATTCTCAAAAGGAAATATTTCAGTATTACTGGTCTGATGTGCTATGAGTGTTTAAACAAGGAAATAAATAGAGATAATAGCTTTTCTCAACTAGTGCCCCTATCAAAAACCAGGACATCATAGAATTTTAGAACTAATAGTGAACTTAATAATCATGTAGTCTGGCTTCTTATGAGAGATGACAAAATTTAATCTAGTTTCTTTGGATCTCTCATAAGTGAAGATGGAGAATCAGTAGGTTTCTATCCGTTCCTACATTTGAAGTCTGCTACTAAGTAATCTTTTGTTCTTTTTTGCCACTCTAAATCATAAGATGAGGAAGTATTCAAACCTTTTGACCAGTGTTGTTTTTTTCCTGTGGATCTTCTCCAAATTATTCATGTCTTTCTAAAAATGTGAAGATTTGAACATTATACGCAAATAGAAAGAATCCTAACCAGTGTTGAGCACAGTAAGATTTTTTCAAACTCTGCATATTTTTTCCATTTTAATACCTGTTGGCTGTTTATATAGCCTAACTATTTGATTCTAATGAAAATTTTCTTTTGTTGTGAATAGCAGCAAATGACATCTCATTTGTTCCACTTTGAAAAACCCAGTTTGACTCTGATCTAGTCTCTGAGAAGCAACTAACCTAAGCCAGAGGCTTCCTTAGAGGCCGATTTAATCCTAAAGTTAGATGAAATCTGTGGTTTTTTAACCTTTTAGGGGCTTTGCTTTTTTTAAAGATTTATTTATTTGAGAGAAAGAGTGCGCTCGAGGGTGCACGTGCGCGAGTTCGGGGAGGGGCAGGGGGAGAGAATCCTCAAGCAGACTGCTCAGTGTGGAGCTTGTTGTGGGGCTGGATCTCATAACCCTGAGATCATGACCTGAGCTGAAATCAAGAGTTAGATGCTTAACTTAACTGACTGAGCCACCCAGGCGCCCCTGGGCCTTTTTATTTCTTAAAAAAAAAAAATCCTGTGTTGGAAAATTTCCAACATACACAAAGGCAGAGTGAATAATATGATGAATTGCTATGTACCAATTACTCAGCTTCAACAGTTATCAAATTATGGCCAATGTTGTGTCATTTATATCTCCGTCCACTACTCCCCACCCCAGACTTTAATTATTTTGGGTCATAGTTCAGCTATTTCTTTTGTAGCTATAAATATTTTAGAATGACTCTCTAAAAGGTAAGAACTCTTATTATTAAAGTAACTACACAAAAACTTTTATTAATTTGTAACACATACCCTTTTGAGATTGTGATGAAAGTTATGGACTTTTGCCCCAGAAAATTTCATGTACAAATATATGTACATTTGTACATAAACGTAACATTTTCACAATGCTTGTAGATCTGAAGTGATTTGGTAACCCCCCTCAGGTTTACTGGCCCCAGTTTAAGAACTCTGTTCTAGAGGGTCCAATATAGTGTGATCTTCCATAGAAGGTCATACATGTAAGATTTATTCATATAGTAGATTTTTTTTTTTGGAAAGTCTGTTTTATTCAAGTTACTAAGGATACAAAAACACAAGTGAGCTATAGGTCTTTGCAGATTAATAGAGGACTTAAGATACATAAATAATAACAAAATGTAATATTAGATGAGTAGTCCTAGAGAAACATAGTTTTATAAGAATTGAGAATAGGGGTAGATTATATTTGTCAGAGGGATCAAAGTAGCATTTGAACCAAGGCTTGAAGAATGGTGGAATTGGAATTATGCTGGTAGATACGGGCAAGAGAATTCTAGGTAAGAGAACTTACTAAGCCTGAGACAGAAAGTAAGAGAGCATAAGACCATTAACAAATGTTGTTGAGGGGTTCAGATTGATTTACAGTTAAGATGTATGAAGGACAGTAATAGAAAAAGAATGAAAACTTAAGTCAGGGCTAGATCATGAGGCTCTTGATCACCATACAAAGAATTTGGAACTTTGATAAATGGTGGGAATCCACTGAAACAGAATATAACCATGATAGTCATTTAGAAAAATTGATGAAATGGACTAGAAGAAAGACTAGAAATTGGGAGACCTGTTATGAAGCTCCATCAAGAGTCAAGTGGAAATATAATGAAGTCCTGGTAGCATTAGAAATAGAGAGCAGGGGAGAAGTAAAGAGGTAAAATCAGTAAGACAAACAAGATTGCACGTTGCAGGGGAGGGAATGGTTGAAGATGACTTGGATATTTTGAGTCAGGTGACGATATTGCCATTAACACTCTCTGATGAAAACCTGTTATTTTAGCTACCCCTCACTCCAGTTGTAGCTGCTCTTGATCTTCATTGGGATTGCTTGGCCTTTGACCATGTCATTTTCTTATTAGTCAGATCCCTCCTCACCTCTCTTCTTAACACACCTTCAAACTCCTTTCTCTCTTTTTTTTCTATTTCATTTATCTTATAAATTTTAGCCCCAGTAAATGCAACCATCCATTTTCTCCATTCTCATAGCCAGGGTGTAGAGAACTGCCTAGAGATATTTATACAGCCTTTGATTGCTAGCATTGGCTGGGCTCTCGATAGTACCCAAAAATTCTTTGTGTCACTAGTCTTCTTCCTTTTCTCTTAGGATATATTCTCAATTTAATTTTTTTTTCTCTTAAACATTCTTTTTGTAGCCACTTCCCTCACTCTCAGAGGAAACATATACCGCTAGTGGGAGCTTTCTCTGTTTACTGTTCCCCTGCTTTATAAACTGCACTCATCTTGAATTCTTGTCTTGTTGAGGAGGTGACCCTTCCATCCAAGGCTTCTAACTTGACTCTGGATTCCATTGTGCTTCTACTTTTTCAGGAAACTTGCTTCATCTGTTAGATCTTCTGTCTTCAAACTCTCTCTACTAAGTTCTTTTATAAATTGTTCAGATCCATCTGATCTTTATTTTAAAGATAAATAACATTTCCCCCATTTGTTATCTTTCCTTGGCTGCTACTATGCTATTACTCTCTTGCCTTTCCTTCAGAGGATGAAAAGTACTATATGCTTAAAAGCTACTGTATATTATTCATAAATGACTTCTGGTATCTTTGAAGATAAACCTTAACTGTCACACAATGTCTTTGGACCTTCCCTACTTTATCTTCAGCCTCATTTCTTTCCTTCTTATCTTAGTCTCTGTGTTCTAACCATAACACAGCATAACCGATTCCTTGAAAATGTTATGCTCAATTAAGTTTCATGCCTTCATATTTTGTCTTTATTTTTTCATAAGTTTTACTGAGATATAATTTACATCCCATATAGTTAACCTGTTTAAATCCTACAATTCAGTGGTTTTTAGTATATTCCTGGAGTTGTGCGATGATCCTTACAGTCGTTTTTGAAACATTTTCATTATCCTCCCCAAGAAACCCTGTGTCCATTAGCAGTCACTCCCCATTTCCTCCTGTCTCTCCTTGCTGGCCCTAGGCAACCATTAATCTATTTTCTACCTCCATAGATTTGCGTAATCTGGACGTTTCATATAATTGGAATCATATAATTTGTGATCTTTTGTGACTAGCATCTTTCTATAATGTTTTCAAGGTTTATCCATGTTGTAGCATGAATTAGTACTTCATTCCTTTTTGTGACCAAATAATATTCTATTGTCTGGATATACCACTTTTTAAAAAAATTTTATTTTGGGTAGGGAGGGTAAAGAAAAGCTTATTTTAATTCCAGTGTAGTTAATATACAGTGTTACATTAGTTTCAGATGTACAATGTAGTGATTCAGCAATTTCATATAGTATTCAGTGCTTATCAGGATAAGTGTACTCTTAATCCCCTTCACCT